GCTAGTTTCTGCCACAGAGCCTTCACACGTACCCCTTTATCTCAAGTGCACCCTACTCCTAAGCCCGACCACACATGAATCCTTTGCCCAGTTTCATCTTCTCAAGGTGTCTTCCCTCTACCTTAATGTTGCATCATCATTGCCATATGCTCAAGGCAGCCATTCTCTACCCAGTGCCCCCATTGTACAATAATCAAAGCGCCTCTCCCTAATTTGAATGTGTTTGTCATCTGCTCTCCACTTGCAATGCAAATTCCATGACAGTAGGGACTATACCTTCCCACTTCAGCTGTATTAAGTTCTGTATTCCCAGACCCCTGGACAGTGAGAAATGATTATTTGCTGAATGAATGAATGAATGAATTTCTCCACATGCACACTTGCTCTTCCTCATCTTACTTTCGATGATGCCAGGATTCTTTTCTCTGAGCTGCAAACTCAGTGGCTACGGGACTCCAATCCACCTGCTTCAGCCTCTGCAAACATGAGTGTGTTGCACTCCATGCAGGGGAGCTTGACCTGCGCTTTCTTTCCCTCACATCCTGTGGCTTCTCTTCCCACACAGGGTCAGGCCCCTGCAGGTATCTGAGTGCCCCAGCAGGGCCCAGAGTGCCCCCAGGTGCTGCAGCACCCACTACTCCTCTGGGTCTTCAAATTCCAAATAGAAATTCCTGGCACTGAGCAGCAAAGGCCTAAGGTATCACTAAAGCTATCCCATTTGTGGTCTGCACAGACATGTCCAAGGCTCATGTGCAGATTTGTTCCCTCAAGTTATACTTGTGTCTGCTGTGCCAGCTGTTGAGATGGAGGGAGAGCCTAGGCAGGCAGTGCCTGCAGCCCTTCCAGGCCTCAGCTGGGGAATGAGCTTACTGCTGGGATTGCTGGCAATGACAGCCATACACCCGCTGTTTTCTCACATGCAACTCCCCTTGGGTGCGGCCAAACTGACAGTTTCCCGAGAGCTGGCCAGGACGTGTGTGAACCCAGAGGAGTATAAAAGCCCACTATCCCTGAGGGCTGCTAGCCCTTTATGAAGATGGAGGTCCTAAGAAGGCTCATTTTCTTGGCTCTTTTAATCACCTCAT